ATAATAATAAATAATAGTAATATAACTAATAATAAGAGAAGGGTGGATTTGGACAGGTCGAGAGAATAGTTAGAGAGTAATGAGAAAGTCTGAATAACTGAGAGGGATTCTAGCAGGGAGGAATATGGTTCCTGAAGAAGGACCAATACGTCATCCGCATACAGAATTATTTTATGTTCTGTGGATAGTGATGGAATACCTTTGATGTTTATATTTTGCCGTATGCTGGCTGCAAGTGGTTCTATGAAAATTGTGAAGAGTGATGGAGAGAGTGGACATCCCTGTCGTGTGCCGTTGTGAAAAGTGAATTGTTGTGAGATTAGACCGTTAGTGGTGATAGTGGCTGTCGGTGAAGTATACAGTGCCCTGATCCAGTTTATAAAGAACTCTCCGAACCTCTGCATGGTAGCAAATAGGAACTTCCAGTTAACCCTGTCAAATGCCTTATGTGCATCTAGTGAAAGAATTATGGTTCTCAATTTCTTGTTTTGCGAATATTGCATTAGGTTGAACAGCTTCCGAGTGTTGTGAAATGACTGTCTTCCTTTGATAAAACCAGTTTGATCTGGGTGTATAATAGAGGTGATGACCTTTTCAATTCTATTTGTTAGTGCAATACTTATGATCTTTATATCTGTGTTAATCAGAGAGAGAGGGCGGTAGCTGGATGGAAGGGTTGGATCTTTGTCAGGTTTTAACAGTAGGGTGATTAAAGCTGTGTTCATGGTGGAAGGTAAAGTGTTAATTTTGAGTGTTTAGTCTATCATTCTAAAGAAGAGTGGAGAAACTGAAGACCAAAAATGTTTGTAAAACTCAGCAGGGAAGCCAACTGGGCCAGGTGCCTTGTTGTTTGACATCTTATGGAGTGCATTGTAAAATTCTTATGCGGTTAATAATTGTTCTAGTGCATTAGATTGTTCTGATGTTAATTGGGGTAGATTGATATTGTTCAGAAATTTGTAGATGTCTTCAATATTTGGGTTATGAGGGGATGTATAAAGATCTTGATAATAATTTTTAAATACACTGTTGATGTCTGTGGGGTTGTAGTGTGGCTTCCCTGCTGAGTCCTTAATTACTGTTATGGTTGATTCGTCTTTGTTTTGTTTGACCATCTTTGCCAGGTAGGCCATTGACTTATTGCTGTGTTGTGTTGAGTTCAATCTGAGTCTTTCAATAAGAAATTTGTTGGTTTTTTTTTTTTTTGTTTAAAAGGTTACTTAATTCTGTCTTGTGTTTCAGTAATTCATTATAGATGCTTTCGGATGGATTGGTTGCGTGGGTGTTTTCGAGTTCTTTAATTTTCTTTTCCAAATCATTTTCTAGCTCTGTATCTTTCCGTTTTTTGTATGATGAATGTGAGATTATTTTTCCCCTTAACAGCTTTCTCAGTTTGCCAAAGTAGAGATGCGGAGGTGTTCAGAGAGTCATTCATTTCCATAAACGATGTCCACTCTCTCTTAAAGTAACTGTCAAAATCCTTGTCTTCTAGCAGTGAAGTGTTGAATCTCCATCTAGTGGAAGTGCTGTTGGTTCTTTTAGTGTTTAATGTAAATGAAACCGTTGCGTGGTCACTGACTGTGTTTGGGTGTATTTGTGTGTTGTGTATGATGGGGTGTAGGGAATTACTAGTGAGAAAATAATCAATTCTAGAGTATGTATGATGAACCTTGTAGAAATGGGTGTATTCTTTATCAGTTCCTTTATCCAGTACCTCCTCCATACATTTAAGGCCATCCATAACCTCGCTCATCCATACCTCTCTGCCCTCCTACACATCAATATCCCCACCCGGTCTCTCAGGTCTGCCTCCTCCATCAGCCTGACTGTCCCCCCAGCCTGTCTGTCCACTATGGGGTCCAGACCCCTCAGCCGCTCTGCCCCTCATCTCTGGAACTCCCTCCGCCCTGACATCAGGAACTACTCTATTACTCTATTAATGTTTCCTCTGTCTTTTAATGTTCTGCTGCAAACTCTGCACTGTTTTTCTGTTGTATTATAGATGTGTTTTAATTGTATTACCTGTATTTTTTTTATTGTTGTATGGCGACCTTGAGTGACATGAAAGGCGCCTTATAAATAAAATGTATTATTATTTATTATTATCCCCCGTATTATCCCACCACTTTTTACTCCTCTAGTTTTGGAGCTGCACTGCTCATTAGGAACGCTTTTAGATAATACAAACCATTAGATGAATCATTGCTCCACACTCTCACAGCACAGAGCGTGCTCTGGGCACAGACAGAGCAGCAGAACACCAGGGGCCGGTTGCACCAGCTGGTCTTTACTACACCTGGTCGTAACTCCTAAGACGGTCTTTGTTAAGACCAGTCTTAAGGAATGGACTTACGCCGGTTGCACCAACAGGGCTTACGCCTGGTCTTAGCTACGCTGGTTTTAGCCACGCGCGTCCATGTGAATGCCCCCGGAATGCCCCTGGAATGCCCCTCGCGGCCTGCCTAGAGGAGCGCGGTGACATTAAATGACGCACCGTTGAATCACCCCGTGTGCTTGACAGATGACAATTGACAATTGACAGCCCCTCTCATCTGTGTTGGCAGTTTATTTACAGTTTAAGATTTGAAGAAAACATGAAGGATCAACGAAAAACTTTACCGACACTGAAATTAGAAAATTAATCAAGCTGTACATCGAGCACAGAGACGTATCACAAATAAGAAAAAACAGTCGGTATGGGCAGAGATAACGGGGCACATCAATACGTGTTCACACTCTGGCTGCCTTCATACAGAGGCTGACATGAGGAAGAAGTGGAAAGATTTCCTCAGCAAAGCAAAAAATACATCTTGTCCAAAAAAAAAATCATCCAACTGGCGGGGGTCCTCCCCGAAAACCTCAATTTACAGTGACATCATTGTTGACGTATTTGGGGAGGATTCCCCTGCCTGGTGGGAAGGCTGGTGGTAGTGCTGCATTGCAGCCCAACACAAACTGTAAATCTGGTGACAGCTCTTCAATAAGTTCAAACAGATCTCTCCTACCGAACTGAAACCTCTCAATCAGCTCCTCGTCATTATATAGGCTATGTCCAATTGCTTCTGTCCCTAATTACCCTCTCCCGTCTAAATGCCCACTTGTATACAGACGGTGGATGAGACGTGCCATAATCAAGTTGCGCTCTCTGCACTCTAGAGCGCATGAGAGCAGCTTGATAATGACCTTAAGCCTGCTCTTGACTAGGTCTAAGATTTACGCCCGGTCTTAGTGAGAAGAAGGCTTAAGCCCTGTTGGTGCAACCGGCGTAACTATTAGGTCGGACTTAGAATGCCAAGTTACAACCGACTTAGCTTAAGACCAGGCTTAAGACCAGTTGGTGCAACCGGCCCCAGGTGCAGTAAAAGATAAACTTAACTGCTCATTGTAATAAGTCTAAAAGTTTGCTTTTACTTGCCTGCTCATCTCATCCATCGATCTGAGCTGATTATCCACTCTACATCCACTACTGAGGGGAAAAAAAACTTATGAAGAGTTTAGCCTGTGCTGTGTTCACAGACCTGCAAAAACCTTTACATTTAGAAAGAGGACACAGACTGATACACAAGGAAACACAAGCAAGGTTTAAAAAGAATTTTAAAAACTGAAGTGTTTGTGGTAATTGAGACCTCACAAGTTTAAATTTAAGGGTCTGTCCCAGTACTCACACTTCCACTCAAAATTGGCCCTAGCCCTTGTTTTTGTGGGTTCCCACAAAGGGCTAGGGTGTCCAAGACTTTAGGGAAGTGCTTTTCAGCCCTTAAAATCCCCACTTAATTTGAAGAGCCATGCGATGCACACTTACAAACCCATCTCAGCTGAGAGAAAGACTGAATTTCCCAGCATGCATTGCGAAACTATCCAGCCAGGTGAGTTTTCCAGGAAGATGGCAGCCTTCATGAGAAAGCCACTGCACAATTGTAAGTACTATTTTCGTAAATAAGCATACAAAAATTCCAAAATATGTTGGAATGTGTTATGTTTCTGCAAACAAATGGACATGCCCTCAAATGCAGGTGAAGCGTGCGCCAAAACCAATGTCAGCAGTACTTACTGAACTCCGCAACCTATGAAAAGAGCACATGGAGGCTTCCCAAGACACGAAGACCACCTTGTCCAGGGTTGAATCCACCCTCAGTGATCTGCAGAACGTATGATAAAATTGGGACATGTTGCGGAGGTTGAACAAAGAGTAAGTGACATGGAGGACAAAACACCACCATGAGAGGGCTATTCGCTATCTACTTCATCGAAAGCGAAACTGCCGGCAAAGTGCGAGGATCTCGAGTCCAGGGCAAGACGAAACAACTTGTGCATATACGTGGTGAAAGAGGGGCACGAACAGCATGATATGATTAAATTCATAACCAACTTGATGCGCACCTCGCTGGCATTACCAGAAGATTTGGACCTGTGTGTGGAGAGAGCACATCGTTCACTGACTATGAAACCGAAGGACTCTGTCCCCCCGCCCCTCCCCCCTAGATCCATTATTGTAAGGTTTCCGGACTAGAGCCCTGCGCAGACTGTTTTCTTCATCCCGCTCCTGCCCGCTCCCGCTGATTTACTGACCATTACCGCCCGCAACCACAACGTGTGTGTTAAACTCCTGCCCGCTCCCGCAATGTGTATGTCCACTCCCGCCTGCTCCCGCCAAACTATAGAAATGCATTGATTTTGTGTCTTCTCCCATCCCACAGGAGAAAAAACGTCATTTTATAGGCTATTAATAAAGAGATTCACAGGGTTGTTTCCCTGGCCTGCATGTCTTTTGACGCACTGGTCAGAAATAGCGCTCATATTTCGTTGTTTACATTTCATTTTTAATGAAATACAGGCTGTTTCATATTCTATTCTCCTCCTCTGTATTTTATTTATTTTTCTACCTTTATATAATCACGCAGTGATTGAGGTTAAGGTCTCTTTTCTAAGAGAGACCTATATAAGAAACATTAATGAGATAAAGATAAAGCCTATGCTCAATAACACCGGCATCATCATGCCTCTTTATGTAATTAACAAATAGCAACGAGAGTAGGCTGTGAGTGGCTCAAATAACACTAATAAATAACATAATATAAAACAAAGTTAACAAATGAAACAAATGAATTTAACGAATGAATCACTTGGCCATTATATTGCTGTGGAGAAAGAGAATGTTGCTGACCGACTGCGGTCCCAGTCCCGTGCGTCTCTCTTCCAAGATACGCCCACAAACACTAAAGGCCCGCTCTGAAGGCGCACTGGATGCAGGGATACTGAAGATGAAACGCGCCAGCTTTGAGAGCGCTGGGAAGTAGAGGGCTCAATGCGCCTTCAGACCTTGTTTGAGCTTCTTTTCCACATCATTTGTTAACTCCATCCTGTCGCTATAGGCTACATCCCGATCCCGCAGTGTTTTTTTTAGCCGCCCGCAGCAAAGTTCAAACCGCCCGCTCCCACAAGATCCCCGACGGGACCCAATCCTTATGCAGCCCTGTATTCCAGACTACAGAATCAAAGAAACAATACTTCAGAAAGCTTGGAAAAAACAAGGGGTGACATATCAAGGGCAAAACGTCTTCTTTGATCAGGACTACACAGCGGATTTACAGAGGAAACGCAAACAAGTACGGGAGGTAATAAAACAACTTAAGGAGAATAAAGTAAAAGCCCAATCGCCTTTCCCTGCTCATCTGAAAATCCACTTGGAACCCGGAGTGTAGACCTTCTCGGCCTTCACGGATGCGGCCCCCACACTTAAGGAGATGGGGATTCATGTCAAGTTGGAGGACAGGGAGTGTTGCGCAATCACTGGAACAGGGCCCCGACATCAAATAGAGCAGGCCCATCAATGATGACAAACACGAACTTGGACATTTTTATTCAAGGCGAGGAATGAATAGTAAACGACTTTAAAATGTAAGTAGACAAAAAAAAAAAAGGTTGTATAGCGATGGTTGTAAACTAGGATTATGTCTGCTTACTTTGTTTTTATTGTAACAAGGAGTTATGTATGAATGAACTCACGCAGGGTTTTTCGCAAATGCACACGCTCTGGTTCACAAATATAATTTTTATGCAAACTTGTAATATAAATTCGGAAATGCACACGCTCTGCTTCACAAATATTATTTTTATGCAAACTTGTAATATAAATTCACAGATCATGCGAATCGCTGAATGTGCATTTACAAACTGCTTCTCATTTGTGAACCTCTACATTTGTGAGAGAAATCTGTGTGGTGAATTTTGAGACTCCCCTGACGTTGCAGGTCAACGAACGTCACCATTGGCTGATAAATCTGTCAATCAAATTTATGATTCTGATTGACAGATTCATCAGTTAATCAGGTGTGTTCACTTTCAGCCAATCGTATGGCTCCTTACATTTTCTCCACACTTTTAAACCAATCGCAGAGCTACTGAGCTACTGTTAACTACAATGTTATTGAAACTGCAGCTGCAATGTTATTGAATTATAATGAGTTGAAGCGTTCTGCTTAGCCAAGTAACATGTTTGAATGAACATAAACTATGAATACAGCCTATGTAAGGAGCCATACGACTGGCTGAAAGCGAACACACCTGATTAACTGATGAATCTGTCAATCAGAATCATAAATTTGATTGACAGATTTATCAGCCAGTGGTGACGTTCGTTGACCTGCAACGTCAGAGGAGTCTCAAAATTCACAACACAGATTTCTCTCACAAATGTAGAGAGGTTCACAAATGAGAAGCAGTTTGTAAATGCACATTCAGCGATTCACATGATCTGCGAATTTATATTACAAGTGTGCCTCAAAATAATATTTGTGAAGCAGAGCATGTGCATTTCCGAATTTATATTACAAGTTTGCATAAAAATTGTATTTGTGAACCAGAGCGTGTGCATTTGCGAAACAGATCGTGTGCATTTCCGAATTTATATTACAAGTTTGCATAAACATTATATTTGTGAACCAGAGCGTGTGCATTTGCGAAACAGATCGTGTGCATTAGTGAGTCTGAAATACAACAGCGAACCAGAGCATGTGCATTCGTGAAAAACCCTGCGTGAGTTCATTCATTATGTATGTCTAATAAGTTAAAGAAAAGAAAGAAATACTATATGGGGTTTAGGACGAAGGGATAAGATATCTTAATATTGTTTAATTTAGTTTTTGTTTTATTTCACCTTAGGCAACTCTAATTTCAGCTATTTCGCTGTCAGATAGTTGCAGTAGCACTGTGTGCGTCTACCCAGAGAGGTTTTAGTCACAACCCTCTGTTTAGAAACGTAATAACAGGAAGTTTGTTCAGTCAGTTGGTTGTTTGGAAGTCTGTTCATGTTTTTTCTTTTGTTGTTCTGTTATGCATAAGTTATTTTCCTTCCATCGTGTTTGATGACAGTCATACAGTCATATGTTACATCTCAAATGGTGTTCAGATGCATACTGAAATGTTGAAAAGGTCCAATTTGAGAACTAGGCTGATTAATATCTTTTCCATACATTTATGAATAATTTGACCATAATTACCTATAATGTCTGTGGATTGAATTATCTTATTAAAAGGAAAAAAAATATATAGTCAGCTAAAGAAAATGCAATATTCCATTGCTTTATTACAGGAAACTAGTGTGTGGAGTGTGGAGTTTGTTGACATCATGCCCAAAAGCTATCCTGGTGTGTGCAGCATGTATGTCAGGTGACCACCCGGTGTGCAGCAGTGACCAGCACAGATACAGAAAGACGTGCTGTGTAAAAGTTTAAAAGTTAAAGTCGCCACGTCCCGTGGCAACACGACCAATCTATATCAGCACTTGAGACAGCACAGAGAAAAGTAGGAAAAATGCATGCGAGAGAAAGCTGAGCCGTGTAACGTTAAAGACAAAGAGACAACTGAAAGCAGCCAGAGCCTCATAAAACAACATCCAAGCATAGTTACGCAAACATTTGTAAGTGTCACGGGGAAATCATAGAACTCCATAACAAACTATATAATAACAAATGAAAAATTGAGCAATTTTGCTCAGTTTCGGCCCACTTGACATGCTGCTGTGTTGTGCTATTCACATTTGACATTTACGTGACAACGCCTGAACGCAACTCAGGCTCTCTCTGCTGTGTGTACAGTGCCAGGCTGCGCTGCTGTGTGAGCAGCGTGTTTGACTGTGCTCAGTCTGTTGATGGTCATTTACACACTGTCCATAACAATAACTAAGTTAGGTCAGCTCAGTGCCCCCCGAATATAATGTAGGGGAAACACTGAATCAAGCAAGAAGACTAATGATACCTTTTTTTTTTTTTTTTTTAAATTATATTGAAATCTCAATCACAAATGGCGATATTGAGGGCCTTCAGTGGGGGTTAACCCTGTTTTAGTGCACTTATTAACAGCAGCATCACTGAGAAAACATTTACAGAAATTACTGTATAAACTTTGTTAAAAAAATAACCCACCCTCTTTCTCTCCCCTTCTCTCCCTCCCACCCTCTCTCTCCCCCTCTCCTGCCCACCCTCTTTCTCTCCCCCTCTCTTCCTCCCACCCTCCCTCTCTCTCTCCCTCCCTCTCTCATAACATGAGCATGCTTGTGTTGCAGTTACCAAATTAGTTAAATGGGTTTTTGGTCATCACTGGGAATGGGAACTAGGAAACTTATAAATACCTTGTGCAGAGTAATTATGTTCACTATCCCGTTACTGTGCCAATATGTTCTCCATTGTTCTGATGCTAAAACTTGCACAGGGTTAATGTTCATTCACTATTCTGTTGTTATTGCTGCTAATATTTGCACTGATTCTGTCTTATACACTACTGCACTGTTGCCATGACATCCAAACAGAAATAGACATGCGCTGACAGGAAGAGAAACCTTAAAATAGTGTTAAACTCTTGCACAATGTTGGTGTTCTTGAACATGCCCTTAACACTGACGTCAGCATCTTGTTCGGCTCAAAGAGGGTAGACTACACACAGGTGCAGCAGAGCAGAATGTTTATCCGTCTCTCATCTCTCTGTTATTCACATGTAGTGTTGGTGCTGCAATCATAAACAGACTGGAATACCAAGCAACTCACGCCAGTCAAATGCAACTGAAGGCTGTGTGTATCTCCGACATGTAGACAAGGTATTCCAGCCCCTTTATGATGACTGCATCGCCAATTCTACACGTGAA